AGGTTAACAACCTTCTATTATCCTTTAGGTAAATCACTGTTGCCTTTTATCGAGGAGTGAGGAAGCTGTGACTCAAAGAAGTAATTGACTAGCGTTTTCAAATCACATTAAGTTACGATTCTTTTTCCACAACGGGATGCTCAAGAAGGCGGAGCGCATGGTAAGTAAAAGGGGCAACACTTGGGGTGTACGACTGATGAACAGCCTGGAGCCCATTCGAATCGTAGGACTTCTGACGCGTGTTTAAAGCGAAATTTCGACGTGCGCTGTCCCTCTGTAGGGACCTGATTTACAGTTTTGATCGTCCTTCTCTAACCCTGTTGGCCAAATTTCGTGGTTCATAGGGGTAACTGATAGCTGTGTCCATCTAGCCTGCGTTTAGCAACTCATACTGGATGGATCCCCCCAACCTCCATTGTATCAAGAGACAATGTCCGCGTGAATTCGAAGGCTAGTATCTCCTCCTGTGAAGCGATCCAACCGATTGTTGACCGTTGATCGGTGAGCAGTGCCAGCACTGAATAGGTTGCTGATAATTTTAGCCGCTACACCCAATTTCCCTTGGCGTGCTTAGTAGAAGGTGAAGGTATGGATCGGGTGTTGTCTTTTCATTGACCGTAATGCTGCTAAAGCCCACACGCGTGCTCTTAATTACTCATGTGTTGATTACCTGGGAAATGCCCTGCAAGGTTGTCACTCTTGTTACCGTGTTCACACTGTTGATACAAATTGCTGAGGCTTCAAATTTTTTTGTTGCAGGACTTTCCTTCCAACCTAATATTAGTAAGGGATCCATTTTTCAAAGATTGTACTGTGCTTACTCTCGGACGAGTTTCACCGGTATTGCAGAGGTTGCACGATTCACAAGAGAACCCATGTAGAAGACGCATGCAAGTTGTCATGACCCATAGCGACAGTGGAAGGCAGTTTTGTACAGTTCTGACTCGTTGTATGCTCCTTGCGCGATTGCAGCAACTGAAATCTCGCCCGAATCGCCTTCCATGTTGTTTCCGTCATGGTAATCTCGTTTATTTTCCTTACTTTTGAGGAGCCTTATTTTTCTTGAAATTGGCGAATTTTCTCGCTTTCTTCACTACCGACTAATCCCAATCTATGCTTCCGTTTTTCGAACAAAAAGAGGCACCTCAAAATTTTTGTGAACTGTGCCATTAAGTAGCGGAGTACTTCCGAAACAATCCGCACATCACGCATTCATTTTCGGTGTCTATACTTCTCCCTTTTGTTCCGATGGTTATAGTAAAGAGGTAATGTTTTATTGAATAGTCGAAGGAATGAATTTGCTTCTGTCACGTTCCTAAACAGCCAGCAGTCTATCTTTTCTGGGATTCGAGGGCAACCTTTGATGAAACTTTTCTGATAACTACGCGCCCTATCAAGGCCTCTATCAGCACTATTTTAGGTTGAATCAGTATACACCGTTCCCTGTTACTTTCTGCTCTGATTCCTACGAGATGGGAATTTCACTCCATACTCAACTTCCCTTAACTGTGACATACTTGCTGTCAAACGATACGTACTGGGCAACATGGAAAATGTTAAAAAACAGAATCAATCTACTAGTTACAGGCCTGTAGTCAACCAAAAACTGCCCCTCTTGTAAGAGATTCAGACGAAAGATGGGTCCACTCGCTGTACGTACTATCAGTGTACTCTCTCGTCAAGAAAGAATATGTGAACGTTTACACGAGTAGAAGATGAACCAGAAAGAGAAATCACGAAGGAGCTGAGTGATCTCAAACAATTTGAACATGCTCATAACTCAGTAACGAACTAGAATATCGAAGAAAAGAAAACTAACCTAATTTTCAATCATAAGTGAAAAGAACTCAGATTCCATTTTTTGAACGATTACTGTAGACATTGTAGTTCGTTAGGTTATGTTGGATTCAAAAATTTCCATT